TGAGCAACGGTGATGTTTAATCTGCCAGTCAGATTTTGCATAAGGGGCGCATCAGCAAATTGCTGCTGCAAGGCTAAAGCTGTCTGCTGGTCGGCGGCCTCTTGCTGCTGCTGAGACGTGGCGGAAATGCGAAGAAAATCAGGTGGTAGAGAACCCAAAAAAACCTGGGTTTGCACAACATTAAAATAGTTGTAAGAGGGTGTGATTTATCATATTACTTTAATCCTGAAATTTCTGCCAAATAAAAAAGTGATTTTAAAAGATTTAATTAGTTTAATTGAGGTATTTTACTGACTTTCATTTACTGGGAGAAGTTCATGAATTTTCCTTGATCACAAGCTATGGTACCTAAATGTCGTACATAGATACCAGTTGTAATTTTTCTTCAGTACTATAATTGGTACATTCCTTTTAAAGGGAACATTCATTATCATCGATGATTTTTTTCGATATGTTGTTAACTTAAGTAATTTTTTTTTATAATTTCAGCTGACAACGACGATAAATAAATATTGCTCAGTATCAACAAATGATTTAAAAAATATTATATTGAAATGAAACCATTCTAAACTAACCTAACGTAACTACTTAACCAAACTTGCTGTAGCTTAACATTTCAAAATTCAGTTTGATATTCCCCACATGCTTTTTCTGTTATTAAACAGAATTTTGATATGTTTAAAGTTTGGTTAGTTAGATAAGGTTTAGTATAGAACAGTTTCATTTCTTAACATGTTGACTGTGGCCTACCGTACTGCTATAGGAGTAGCGCGGCACTGGCACTGCTCGCGGCCTACTGCTATATCAATAGTGTGCTCGCCTGCCAAAAATTGTGTCTGTCTGAACCCAGCACTCGGCCGGCGACAATGTGATTGTTGCCAGGCTGTAACTTAGAATACAATCTTTATTTTGGTGTAGGTTGGTACTAAACATTCCCGTAAAATCCCGTCTGGCAATGCTTTAGTCCCGTTTTCGGGGATTTTCTCCATTCGAGCTAAGACTCTGGTTATTGATCCAGGCAGTGCTGCTACCTTTGGGTGTTTCAGTGAACTACATCCACTTTCAGGGTAACGCAGAACAATCACCAGTGCTCTTTTCTGATTAGTCTTACTGAGATATTTCAATGCCGATAGCGACCGCTGATTCAGTAGCGCGCCGGGGCGGAGTTTAGGAGCGCCTGTGTAAAGGTTTTAGCAGTCAACGTGTTAACCCACACGTATAATTTTTGCCTAAACAGGCATCAGTTGTCAATTTGTAATTTAAATGTGTTTGAAGATATTAAAACAGAAGTTCCCTTTAACAGGAAAGTAAGTTACCCTAAGTTATTTTTTGTTTTAAAATATCACAACTGATAGTAATTAACTTAGGCCTGAGTATAATTTTCAAGGTTTAAGTACCGGTACCTAGCCTAACCCCAGACAGCACACTTTCTCCCCAGGACATCCCACGGATATTGCAACAGGATAGCTTATGCAAGATATCCCATAGTAAGAGATATCCCATAGAACTTAGAACCCAAGATAGGCTATCCCATAGAAGCAATTGGATTCAAATGTTTACTTCTTTATAGAAAATTTGAAATGTGTGAACGGGGTTTTTCACAAACTTTAGGTTCCTCGGAGTGTTTACCTTATTACCCCCTTCTTCTTCTTATAGACTAAACTTACCCAACAATAGGGATAAATTGCGACAAAAGAAAAAATACAGGCCTAGTTTCTTAAGTTGACCTTTTATTTTGACTTAAAAAAACTTTGATTAGCTTCTAACCCTTGGGAATGCCAAATCCACTGAACAACACGAACATTATGTAACATAACATCACTAACTTACAGCAGGTATGAAGGACTTCAAAAAATATCCTACAGAAAACATGGTAAATTAATTATTGAGAGCCTAATACGTTACCCGTTTTCTTCTTTCAGCGTTAATTTTTTCGGGTGATGAAGCTGTTGCCATTCTCCCGATTTTGTTGTTTTAATGCACAAGCCTAAATATCGAAATGAAAATACCAACACTAACGTTTGCGATTGACAACTGTCAACTAGAAGAACTGACGTTTCTCTTTCTCTTCTCCGCTTAGTTTCGTTTCATAATCACATGGTGTTTTTTTTCTCTCTTCCGACAACCGTCTGCTCTTGGTATATTGTGATCCAGTGATTGTGTTAACAAATTTATTTTGTACTTTAAACTCAAAGGGCATCGAGCAAATATTAAAAAGGTACAATCCTTTTAAAAGGGTTTATTAAAGAAATTGTTGGCAGTTGGTTTTATTCGTTACTTTCTTGCATAAATAAATAGAATAAATATAGACTCAGATTAAAAAGGGAAGGTTCCACGATGTGCCGCAAGAGCGTGCTAACTGATCGTCAATTCGCTGACGTCCTCGAACACGGCCACCTTTAACTACAGGCCGTGGCCTGGTAGAATTGGCAACGTCGCAAGTGTAGTTGTTTAGTGACAGACGTCCTATAAGATAACATGGCAGACAGGTGACATCAGCTCAATAATTCGCACTTTATTGATTAAATTTAAAATTTATGAACATAAATTTATTATAATATTGAAAATAAAACATACAGAATTGAAAACGGAAACAAAATGAATTAAAAATCTCTATCTGTACATTTTAAAGCGGATTCAATATTGTCATGGTCCAGTAACCAATCTTTCGTAAATACACAAATACCATTAGCTGCTTCCAAACAAAACAGCTCTTACAACACCACTTGTGACGTTGCCACTTCGAAGGCCTCGGCCTGTAGTTAAAGGTGGCCGTGCCTCGACTCACCGTCTGCTAACACATTACTGACCACCCTTACAAACGAAATGCTACTACAAAAAATCAGACCCACTTTTCAATATATGGGTCAATTAAAAAATTCTGAAATCCTGTAATTTTAACGGAAAAGCCCACTTTTTCAAAAAACCCCCGAAATAAAAAAAATGCAGAAAAATAACGGAACAAACTTAACTTAACAAACTACTCCCCGGAATCCAGTGAATTCTCCAGAAGGCCTGTTAAGGTTGATAACCTTATTATGAACCTTAGCACTGTCAGTTGGGACTTGGTTTTGACCCTATTATCTGCTCAAGATAGTTTAAACCTGTTGTGGGACTGTTCTGACTCAAATCTTAATGTTTATGTTTTCCTTTGGTGGAGATGAAGATGTTTAAAAATAGAACTCGCAATTTGAAAAATAAGGTTAACTGGTACACCCCAGAGCTGGAAAAATTGAAAAAATAATGATGTTTTATCAAGAAGTGAATAAAATGTACGGTAATGAGGACATTCTGGTTGTATCCAAAAATCTAAAGGGCAAGTACCGTGCTATCCGAGATGCAAGGAAGAGAAAAAAACGAAGAACTCATCGGGAGGTCTACCAATAAGTGCAAGACTGCTTGGTCGGTAATAAACTCAGCAGCTGGGAAGACTACGCAGAAAAGTATGTCAACGCTATCCCCTGATGACTTGACTACAGCGCTACAGCTCCTTCTTCTCTACGGTGGTGGACGAAATCTGGGAGAAAGGGAATGTATGTGTCAAAAAGCAATGCCATAGATTAAACATACTCCTCAAGGAGTATGTTTTATTTTATCTATGGCAATGCTCATCAAATGGTGGCGAAAATTGCTCAACCTGTATTTGATTTTAAATTCACAATGGTATCAGAATTAGATTTTTTAAATGTGATTCTGTCGTTAAAAAATTCTGATACCAGAGATGCGTATGGGTTAACAAGTAATTTATTGAAAAATGTTTGCTCTGTAATTTTAACTCCATTCACCTATTGTTTCAATCGCTGTCTAGAGGGTGTTATCCATCTTTGTTGATTTTAAGTTTTACCATTGAATTTAAACAGTCCAATCATCCTGTTGGAAACCTGTTGATGAGTGTAGAGTATGTGACGGTATCTTTAGTGCGTTGATGTTAACTAAAATGTTTCACTAGTTAATAGCGTATCAATAATTAACACCGATTTAACAATGTGCTCGATTAATTAAACGACTGATAGTTTAAATAAATGCATATAAACTCCCATTTACATATAAGAGCAATACTATTTTTGCTGAGAAAATATATGTACTATATTTTTTTTAGTCGACATCGCTACACTCAATCGTTTCTACATTAACCACGCATATCTACAAAGGGTTAAGATTTTGATTCTACAAGAGAAACAAGAAGTCTACTTGCACTGCACTGTCTAAAGTCAACACACATAACACCTCATGTTAATAGGTTGATAAACTGGCCAAGACCGCAGCTAATTGAAATCAACACATAGGCACCGATTTCCTTACACCCCTGTCAGACTTAAAATATTAATCATAAATACAAATACAAGCATCAAGAGAATTTGATATTAGTAACAAAGGACAATGGTACAAAATTATACAACCTAAAAGCACCACAAAAGCCATGGTTTTGTAACTACAGACTAAGCCGTACTGACACTTCACTAATATGTAAACTAAGATTTGGTCATCTATACAATGCTACAAGGCTATTTCAAATTAAGAAGAGGGAATCTCCCGAATATCCGTATTGCACCAAGTGTAAACTAGGACAACGTGAAACAATAGAGCATATAATTACAGAGTTCCCAGCCTACAATAGGATGTGACAATTCCTTTAGGCAAAAATAAAAACAGCAAATAGGAATTCAGAATTCACCACCAAACTGTCCAAACGATCCTAATGGAGGAGAATTGCAAGCTATGGCCACCTTTACTGAAATTTTTAAAAGAAACAGACATCCAACTTTAACATATAATGAAACCTGAACTTTAAAATTTCAACAAGACATTCAAATAAAAAAATGTCCTAACTAGCATCCTGCTAACATTAAAAATAACCGGGAAAATTGTACTGATGAAGTAGTGTGGCTACATGGTTAGTTATATCAAGCCAGCTTTAAAAGCAAACTAGAAAAGAAGAAGAAGAAGTTACATACTATAGAGAAAAGGAAAACAAAATTTTTCTAAGAAATTGTGTTGTTTCAGTTGTTTGTTTGTAGGTTATGTTAAAAAGTAATTCTCCTTATATTTATAATTACAGTAAGTCTTTAAACATTCTAGAAGTTATATAAGCAAATGCCTTCATTTAAAATAAGAAGAAGACAGTCAAAATACAAACAAGTTTTAAAAAATGACTTTGACATTGAATATAGTAATGAACCAACTAAGGTAGGGTAAAGTAGGTTATGCCTACTAACATAAGCTATAAGTTAGTTAATTAACCCTCCAAGTGTCTCTAGTTTTGGTCTTAATGTTCGCCCATTTATTGCGCAATCGCAGGGTTTTATTAAAATGTATCATAGAAACTTAAAAACAATGTAAAGTAGGCCTATACTGTTTTATATATAATTTTGTTTCGAAAATCATGGGCTTCAATAAAGGCCTAACATATAAAACATAACAAAAAAAATGTTCAACAATTTTTGTGGGGTTAACATTTCTCAAAAATTATAAAATAAATGAAAAAAATTTATGTTTGCGCTCAATAGGCCTACTTGTGTGAACCTGGCAATAACTCGGCAATAAGTAGTGCGCGCCCGCTAAAATCTATTGCTGGCCGTGTTGCGGCAAAATACGTCCGCGAACCATATTACCAATAATGCCACCAGATAGAGGACACTTTAACGGACACGACAGTATCAAAATTATGTACCTGGGGAGTAGAATAAGAGGGGTAAAACCAGCAATAAGTTATGCGCGCGCCCGCTAAAATCTATTGCTGGCCGTGTTGCGGCAAAATACGTCCGCGAACCATATTACCAATAATGCCACCAGATAGAGGACACTTTAACGGACACGACAGTATCAAAATTATGTACCTGGGGAGTAGAATAAGGGGGGTAAAACCAGCAATAAGTTATGCACGCGCCCGCTAAAATCTATTGCTGGCCGTGTTGCGGCAAAATACGTCCGCGAACCATATTACCAATAATGCCACCAGATAGAGGACACTTTAACGGACACGACAGTATCAAAATTATTGAAATTTTACTACACATATTTTAAATATTACAATTGAATAGGTGATCTTATTCTTAAGAAAAATTCGTGGGGTTGAAAATAATGGAAGTGATTAAACCGCATAACCAACAAAGTCCAACAGTACTTTGGTCAATTGATTGACAGGATCGTCTAGGGAAGAAGATAAAACCTAAGATGACAAACATTAAGTTTGTACAAAGAGGTAGAGGCATTTGTTCAGTGGCGGCAATAAGAGCCCGCAGGCCCCCCGCAAGTTTGTTCACCGGGCCCCCCTCTCCCAATAATCTTTAAAAATATTATCCACATGCATTTTTGCCTAAAATTGCTCTTTAGCTTGGAACGGCATCTCCCGAAGCACAGAGGCGTCATCATCGTCTTCCATGATCACGGCAAAATCGTGAATACTCCCTGTGGTCATGGAAGGAACATTTTCATTGTCTACCGTGATTGCAACCAAACCTCTATGACGTTATCAGATAACAACATCATCGTCTCCCGCATTCACGGTCTAATCCCTAAAATCTAAGCAAACCGATTTTGAACCGATCTGAATTGGCCCGAGGCCAACCGAGGTTGGTTTAGGGGTAAGTAACATTTTTTACCTGACTCGAAGTAAACAAATCTAAAGTGCGAAGTAAACAAGTGATAAGTGCAGCCACCTAATAGTAAGAAATTAAATGAAATGAAAATCCAACAATGAAAGAATGGAATTATTTATAAGCTAATGCCCAAGCCACCTAGGTTAATTGGTTGATTTGATCTTAAAAAAATTGTCAAGTTCATTGAGCTGAATAAGCACAGAGAACCCTCTCTGGTGGGACACGCCGGGGGCTAGGACAGGAGGATTAACACTAATGTTTTATCCTCCTAGGCCTGGGGCCACATTAGTTCTAAATACGGCCCTATTATAGCGCCATCCCACAGTCCACGAGGACGGTTGATGCAACCTGCATGACTGATGACAATTCTTTTACTTAGTTTGGTAGAGAATTTATATTGATCGGTCAAGTAATAGTGTCAGTTTAGCTGTTAGTTGTTAACTACTTTTCCTAGCGCTCTTACTGATTTTAAACAATTTTCGTCATAAAAAACGTATGGAAATTCTTATATAAATATTGTTATGATAGGGGGCCCGTGTGGCTGAGCCTGTCACATAATTGTGGGCCCGTGTCCAGGTAAAATTTCCCGAAAAATTCCGGTCAAGGCTCACGGGCCCCCAAGCTCGCGGCCCCCCCGCACCGCAGGCCCGCTATCGCCGCCACTGCATTTATAAATTCAACTGAGGGTTGATTATGATCTACTTAATCAGTTATTATTTTTTAGACATGTGAGGTAGGTAGGTTGGATGTTATGTGTGTAAAGCTCTCTAGCCTCTACTCCTCTGTAGAGGTAAAAGAAACTTACGAAAACTTTCACCAAACAAAAACTTACTTCAAAGGGGGAAAAATGTAGCTAGGGTAGAGTACTCACTAAATGGAGGACCTCTAGGATCGTGGAATAAGTGAACACCAGTGCAGTATAATACTATGATTTAATAAGTCTAACTAAAAGTGCACACATAAAATAAGTACATAAAATAAAGAGTTAATAAAGAGTAAATAATTGTTACACAGCGATATAATAATAATTGAGAATAGCAAAAACACAAATACAATTGAAATTATATGATTGAATATTTACACCCTATGTTTTGAGTTTATTATCTGTATAATGATATGAAATGAAATATTTCCCTCGACACTTAAATGTATTTAAAATATAAGTTGTAAACACTTGCAATGTCCTATCCTAAATCAAAACCGATATTTACATACAAGTTAGTGCATCCTTCTAATAATATATACAAACTAAACAGACATTTAAAATACGTGTTTAACACCCTGATTTTTTATTATTTATACATATTTGAAATTGTCTCTTTTATTATATACACGTCTATATGTAGTCCAACTAATAGGTTTATTTAATTTGGATTCGATTTGAATCCTGTTTATTCAAACTTCAAATGGCTCTAGTTTAGGCTGACCCCTTTTAGTTTAATTAAGGGTTAATATTTATATGAACTTTAACGTAATTCTACTTCATTTACTCTGTTTATATATATTTATTTTAATTAACTTTTCTTTCTAATAGTTTATTTATTTCATTTTATATATATATATATATATATATATCGTTATATTTTATGGAGTTTTTCCCTCACATTTACGTTGTGCACACTAGGACCAAATGAGTGAAGATATTTTGACATACCACAAGACGAGGCAGTTGGGCGACGATTGAAAGGTTCCCCGGGGCGTTCCTTTGGTGCGGGCGTAGACTCCGGGGTTGCTCGCCCGGGCACAAGGGTTGATCCAAGCGTAGTCCTTCCTCTCGTCGTCGGTCGCTCGTCCTGGGCCGTCCTCTTCGGGTCCTCGCTTTGGTCCTTGGTAGCGTGGTAGTGTCCTGGTGGCCTTGGGTCTTGAAGAACAGCCGTGGGGTTGTGGTGTCCTCGTGGTCTCGAGTCTGGTCGGGATCTTAACAGGCGCTTCAGACTAACCCGCTAAGTCACTGTCCCTACTCGATCCGGGACTCCCGACGGTTTCTTCTTTGAAGTGTTACTTCCTCAGACCTCTCCAAGACTGATTAACAATTTTCGTCTCCAAGACCTCCTTTCCCTCCTTCGATGTTTGGTTCTTCCCCCGATGTCTTCGGGAAACGCCTACCCTCCAATCATCGGTGGAATATCTCCGATCATCGTCCTCATTGGCTTCTCCCCTCATGTCCAGCCTCCAGAGGGCGTGGTGCTGACCGTAAGTAAAATAATTTCTCTATGCATGTATAATTTCTTGGAATCGATGGGAACAATATTGTTTCTCGTCGATTGTTCCCATCGGTTACAATTTCTTCTACGATGCATTCCAGATCGAAATTCAATCTATGCCTGGCTTGTTCTCAGCCAGGTCTTTGCCCATGAGAACGTGACTTGAACCTGAGATCTTGCGATCATCTTTACTTTTTATTTCTATGAGGGGTCGGCGAACGTTTTCTATTGTTCGTAAAGAGAAATAATTTAATAAATTAAATTTAAAATTTCCATATGTTTATACTCCCCCGCTGCCTTTTAACTTGGTCCCCAAGTTTCCTCTTCAAGTTTCGTTTTAAGTTATTAATTAATTTTTCTGTTAGTTTTGTTGTAGGAGGGTAGGTGGTTGTGTAGAACGCTGTGGCGCTGAGGTGGGACGGAGCTCTCCTTCCTCAACGCGCAGCTGTGGATTGTTGTGACGAGTCAGCTGTGCGCTATCGTAGTGTTTGTAAACAGACCTTGCTACTGTATGTCACTGTGTCGACTGTTATGTAGTTTCAAGTAGAGTAGAGATTATGGTTTTCTTTATGATTATAATTCTATTAATTAATATATATTTATTGTATTTTGTTAGCATATAAAATATTTACAGATATTTACAGATATATACATGTACTTTAGAACAATGTTTTTATCGTCCTTCTTTTGTGAATGATATTTTCTTAGTGGGTTTCTTGGCGCTGATTATAGTCTCTATTAGGTAATAGCATTTTTATTTGCATTGCTTGAAGGCTCAGACAATATATTAAAACGAGACATGTTATAGTTAGGACTGTGGACCATCCTAGCAAAATATAAAATAATAATTTAGTGTTTCCAAAAAGGTCAAAGTCGGTATTTGGTAAGACGAGGTGTTCCATTTTCTTTAATTTGGTGACTTCAAAGGTTGGATTATTGAAGGTCCAGTTTGAATCAAGTATCTCTGAAAGGTTGTCAAATTCATGTTTGATTCCTTTGCGTAGGGGAAATAGTTTGATTGTTTTTAATTTAGTCCAAGATGCTGGGATTAGGTTTATAATGTTTGTTGTGTTATCTTCTTTACCGCATGGTCTCACTGTAGTGATGAGGATTAAATTTTCCAATTTTAGTTGGCAGTCACATGGGATGTTGATTTGAATAGTTCCAATAGCTGTGGCTGGCAATAATTTCGAAGATGTGTCATCTGGGCAAACTAAATTTAGTTCTTGCTGTATGTTCGTAATAAGATATTTATTTGGTAATAGTTCTGTGATTATTGGATATTTTGGTTGATTTTCACATATAAAATGGCAATTTTGTTGTAGTTTGTCAAAAGAAGCTGAAGAAAGAATCATGTGAAGACATAATTGCATGTTGTTTGCAG